AAACTGTTTTCATACTTTCATTTGTATTCATTTCAATTCCTTAATATTTAACTTTTGCATATAAGAAAAAATTGTAATATTTGTTTTTTCTATACACCATTTAACTAACTTTATTGTATTATATAATACATATACATTTACATACATACATATATAATGTTAAGAAAATGAAATTGAATGAATAAAATAATTGTATTGTTAAAGACTGAAAATGAAATGTGTTTATATTTATGACTTTTGTGTGATAAATATTGCCCTGCCAGCTTAGACGCAAGACGACACCAGCCACAATGCGATAAGCATCATATTCTTCAGCAAATCAGCATTTTCATTGTTTTTTGTTTAATAAAAATAAATGTTTCTATTCAATTCATTTTTTTTTTAGTTTCATTGTAAGCAAACCACTATACAAAAAATTAGTAAAAGTAAAGATAAAACCTTTTGTCCAATATTTTGCTTTCGGAAATAAATTTCAAACGATTGTTACTCTTTTCCAACCCTAGAAGCGTATTTGATTTCAATAAGCACGTCAAATACATAACGAGAACCTGCGCTTCATAACTTATCTACTAACAGCGACAACAGCAGTATTCACTGGAATCCAGTATAAATGTATTTATGTATACCTTAAGAAACTTCAATAGTCCTTCCTTCTTGGCAGTTTGGCCGGTCGGTAGGCATTCGGAGTGCACCACACCTTGATTATGGAAGAAAATTGTGAACATACTATATTTGATTTTTGGCCTGCTTTGCAGTGGTTTTATCGACTCGAACCGATCTTTCACTTTTCTTAGGCCCAAATGAATTTTGAAAATGGTTTTCATTGATTCTTCCGATTTTTCAATGATATCACTGAGATCTGTGGCTGCTAATCGTTGATCCTCAACCATCAAATTTATTTATTATCAACCTTTATTTTATATTGATCCCTGTTTGTAAGTACTACGATTTTTTTTTATGGCTGATTCTTAATACAAAACTTTCATGGAGGCCAAATATCGAGAAGCGAGTGAGGAACAACCGATGCCGCCTTATATTGGTGTAGATCAAAAGTGCGGATTTTCACCAAAGGTGGTGGTTTGGCTCTATAAAACCGTAGTCAAGCCAATAATGTAATGGTTTACCGTATTCGTCTGGTGGAGAGCCCTCTCCTTGCTAAGACGCTTGAACGCTGCCAAAGAACAGCTTTTATGCTTGAACGCACAAGCTCTTAAGGGTGTATATACGAAAATATTATGCGGATCAACTTAAAAATTTCGAAGTTTAAGTCACTGCAACCGACTTTCGCTAGCCAAAAAAGAATATTAAACTATATTGAAGTGACTTATGCAATATAACGGTATTTATTAGTTGCGAAACGAAGTAAACTTTTATACTTACACATACAAATGAAATAATACTTTGCAGACAGGAGTTGCCAACACTCCAATACAAAGCAATATAAGCAGCGAAATAGCAGCAACGGTAGACTGAAAGTTAATGGATTAAAGCAATGTAATAGCGCAATCATACAATTACAGCATTATATGTGAGGAATTAAATGTATAGATGGCGACTAGAAAGATGCCATCAAGACTACATATATAGCGCCTAAGAGTATTCCTACCAAGGCATTAAAGTTAAAGGAACCACAAAAGCTTAGACAGCAGCAACAGTAATCGAATGAGCTAACAGATTAGCGGTGAAAGCTGCTGCCGGACGCTCCGCGCACCCTTGAAGATTTATGTCGAGTGTAAGCTTAGCAAGCTGTGTTCACTACTATGCCACACATTTGATTCCTGTTCTTGGCGCCAACGTTTTCGTTTGACACTCTGCCTTACTCTCTTTCATTTCTTGTCGCCGCAACGCAACCCACATAAAGGTTTCTCATCGTTATATCTGTCATTGTCGGTATACTCGTATATATATATATGTATATGTACATATAATATATACATTTATCTGCCTGTCTGTGCAGTACCTTCTGCATCTCCTTATTGTTGCCATGCTTAGCCATTATTAAGGCCATAAAGTAGAAGACGGCTATTTTGTGCTTTGCCAAGCCTTTATATATATGATTATGAGCTTTGCACTGGCTGCTTTGGCGGTCGCTTTATGCTGCTTTGATGGCGCATTTTGTGGCAGGACCTTTTTGTACCCCCTTAAGCTGACCAGTAATATAGACTTAATTATACTTAACTACAATTTGTAATTTCATAAAAATTTGCACCTAAAAGTTTAATGAGTTTAACTCCTCATAGTTTGTAATTAGCAGAGCTTAGAGAAATGAGCAATATTTGAAGTGTTGCTTACTTTTGTGGGAGGAATGCTATTTTTGTGTGCTGTGTATGGTGGAAGTGAGGTGCCTTATAATGTAAAGGGCTTATATTAGTTCGTAATATTGCTGAGAAACAGGTAGGAAACAAGTAGCTGCTGAAGGGCGCAGACTAACTGAGATTCTCTACATATGAAGAAATATAAAGTCGAAGACCAAGTAACATATCAAAAATTTCGATTTAATGAAGTATAAAAATAAATCTATGTACAAAATATTAAAATGAGACAGTTTTTCTGCGCAATATCCAATATTCTGCTCTTTTTAGAGCAATAAATTTCCGAAAAAGGGTTTTCTCAGAGTTTGGATGAATAAAATTGAAATCATATAATCTTGGCTTAAACTTCATTTCATTATTAATTATTTGTTATTTTACTACCATAAATCTTTATTTAAGCGACCACTTTATTGTCATAATTAATTCATTAAAATAAAACGATTTTTTCCAACAATACTCTGTTGACCTGACAATTCTTGTGATTTTGCGCCAATTTTTCTCAGTGTATCAGAGTAGTTTCTCATATCGGAAAATATTTTTTATTTTTGTATTTTTCTATGCAATTTCGTATTCAATACAGTTTTGTATATTAAATTTTAAAATCCGCGGCTATTACATCAATTTCAGACGAAAAGTGTTTAAGAAGTTACTCATACGCCATGTCATATGCAAATATTTCGCAATAGTGTAATTAATGATCGTCTAGTTTTACTTAATATAGCGTTCTTCAAGATCTAAATTTTTGCATAAGGGCTTATCTTACTTAGCTGCATCTGATTTGTCGAAATCGCCAATATCGGACCACTATAACATATAACTACAAAAGGAATTGTCCGGTCAAAATTAAGTCATTGCATGGAAAACTTTTTTGTTTAACAAGGTATCCACATGAAATTTGCCACAGACTATTACCCATATTAGCGTTGTATTCACTGAAGAAATTGCTTAGAACGGGCCACTGTAGAATATAGTTGTCATATAAATTGTTTGATCAAAAACAAATCTTTGTAAGAAAACCCTTTTTATTTGACAAGATATCTTCACGAAATTCAGTATAAATTAGTTTTGGAAACATATCAACAAAAGACACGAAAATTTTTCAGATCTGACCACTATAGTCTATAGCTATCATACAAACTGAACGTTACCTCTCAAGTCCCTGTATGGAAAACATTTTTATTTGACGAGATATTTTCAAACAATTTAAGATGTATTACTGCCCAGAACAAAGATAAAATATCCGAAGAAATTGTTCAGTTCGGACAACTACAGCGTATAGTCGCCATACAAACTGAACGCTCTAAAACCAGTCCTTGTATGGAAAACTGTTTTATTTGACAAGATATC